AGCTCTCGCAAAGGAAAGTGTACGAATAATTATGCCGCGAGCGACGGCTGACTTAATCAACTTTCCATTGTAACGTTGACAGCTATTACGGAAATGCTGAATAGAAGATTAGATTCGGTCTGATGGGGTTGCCAGACTGAACTAGGAAGAGGGTTCTAACCGTGCCCGACCAAAGGGTAAATACATTTGAATTCCGAATCACGAAGGCGCCAAGTCGAGCGACCCGATGCCCCCTACGACTACCGCTTTGAGAAGGGTAGTTTCTCTCATTCCTTTCCAATCGCGAATTCGATCTCGATTGGCAGCAACTTTTTACTTAAAAGTTCACCGGTACCACCGACCCCCCCTCTCCGCCCCCCACCATCGCCGTTCTTCGTAAGCAATGCCGGGATCGCGTCTGCCGACGACATTCTGGGTTTCAGCGAAGGGTGTTCGTAAGGGTTGTTGAGTATTTTCGCGAGAAATTTGGACAATTTTGCAAAACGCCCCCCCCCCTCCCCCTAAGAACCGCAATCATCTCTATAAATTATGCTTTCGCATGAAAGTCCCGTACGGTAAAGGAAATGAAAACGGGAGCGAGTTTTGTACATATAATAAAGAAGAGACCGGCTATTACCGTCAGCCATTCGTGAATCGTACTGCGACGTAAAAGTCAATTACCGCGACCCGACGACCCTACGTATAAGAGAGCCTCCACTGTTGCCAACCGCTGCCACTGCCTTCTTCCTATAAGTTCAGTCTCTGCGAGACCCTTCGATTCCTCCGATAAGTTACTATCCCTCCCTTAGTCCTTTCGTCGGGTGTTTCTTTCCGTTCGCCGCGCGTCCTGACACCGGAGACAAGCAGCGGCACCCAGGATTTCTTCAATTTCAACGATACTCCGGAGCCGCCAGGAGGCCGGAGATCAGACATTCGTATCCGGGTGCCAGGTCTCGGCTGAGGTCGATACTCGGCTTCGAAACTTGGAATAAAAGAAGGACACGTGGTTGACGTTTCGCGAGGAGCCAACTACGGATTAGCATAGATATTGAGTCCGCCGTGAACCGATAGAAAAAACATTTTCGAGTTTCGAACGGGTGGGCAGAGGAATGGAATTTTCAAAGGCTGCGCCTAAAAGCCATGAAATTTCACTGTTACAATAATCCTAACGATCGTTCCGAGTATTTGAATTTCTCGTGAGTTTCCGAGAAAAAAAACCTTTTTTTTTGTACGTTGAAAAAATTCATTTACCACTGGCTTCTCTTACCACTTTCGTGACTGGGGATATCGGAGTCACGAGATGTCACGGATTCAGGGCGCACGAGTCTGACGGTGCACTAGGTCAGTTGAAGTCAATCTGGGGGTCGTCGAAGGTCAGATTACGTAGCTCAGGGTTAAGTCTAGTAACGGTAATCAGAAAGCGAAGTCCGAGTCGTGCAGGTAATCGGGTCGGAGTTGGCTCTATCAGCTGTGTTGGCAGACGGCGTGAAAAAAAAAAAAAAAACGTTACCTGAAATTCTGAGGGTTTTATAAGGAGGTTAGAGTTTTATCCCCGGTCACATCAGCAACGTGGAATACGAGTGACTATATCATACGAGGTAACAGATTAAACGTTGGCGAAACGCAAACAAATATATGAGAAATGGATCGTAACGGCTAGGCGTTCCCGCCGTCTAGTCGATAAGAGGAATCGATCTTCCCTTGAGAAAGTGCCAAAGGACGCCAAAGTACGAAAATTCCGGATGGAACAAAACCTTTTCGCTCTCGCCTCTGATCCACTGACAATTAATTGCAGTCGGGCTCCCTAGGAAAAGCCAATAAAATTCTAGCCACTGGATGAAGAAGTATTGACGCTGTCCCCGCCCCTCCACCCCCTTTACCCATATAAAGGTCGTTGCGGCGCGCCAGAGAGATATTATTAGTTTTCCGGAAAAGAAGAATTTGAAAAATTTATTCAATGCTCCACGAAGCTGGTGGCTTTGTCGGGGTGGTTTGGGGGGG